ATTATTTACCTCATTTTTTAAAATCGTATTTTTAAGTCTGAGTAAGATTTATTTTTAAAGGGAGCAAATTTCTTGAAATCATAAACATGAAAAAGAGCTATTACACCCAGACACAGAAGATAAATGTAACAATAAATACAATATAGTGTTATTAAATTTTACAGAAGGCAATCCAAAAGGAACATTTTTTAAAAGGATAACTTCTCACCATGATTCAATATGAAAGCCTGCTGTTTTGCAATACCACTTAAAATCACCTCTAGCAGTACCAGTGGTATATGCCTTACACTTGGGGAAAAACTAAACTAAATGGATAATGATATAGCACTGTGATGTAAGCCAAATTACAGCACAGACTATAAAATTCAAATTACTAACCCTTCAGACAGATTCATGATGCATTAAGAAAGTCTGCCCCAGATTCTTGGATAACAAGATAGTACTATGGGGGAATAACTCTTCTCACATATCCAGAGTAATTTTCCTCGAATGGCTAAGAATCAGTGAGCAGAGAAAACAGACATGAAGTCCAGGCATTAAAGCGTATTCGTTTCACCACAGAAAACTGCTTCAGGCCTTAATTCAAAGCCTGTGGGCTTTTCTAGACATTTTAACAGCATATTCAGGCACCAATTTCATACACTCCATCCTTTAGCCTATGTTCAGGAGAAACACTTAGTTTCTTTTATCCCATATATTTAACTATTTGCCTGATTTAAAAAATCATCCGCCAAGTTAGGACATGAAGTCTGTCCCTTTCCTGGCCTCTCACTGGTTTGTAAGGAAGCAGAGTTTCATCCCATTCCTTCCCAGAACAAAGGCCAGCACCATCACGAGGGGCCTGTCCAAAGTCAGCCGGGTGGTGAGTGGCAGGGCCTGGGCTCCTGCCCACAGTCCTCTCTGCAGAGCACATCTACCCATCCTGGGGACAAAACCATACACACTGTGCTCATCTCAGGCCTCTCAGCTTTTACCTCAGAAAAAGTCCCCACAGCCTATATATAACCCAGCAGGCAGTGCCCTCTTCCTCTCTAAACTCACGCTTGTCTTTTCTAACACAACACACAACTCCCTTGACTTTGTGCCTGAAATATCAGAAAACAAAGCCACAAAAGTCAGGGTTTGGAGGTCCTGGCAGCTCTTCTTGGCCTAGGAAATGAGCCTGTAAAAACTTCTCTCCTCCTCGTTTACAGATTTATTTGGAGAGAAACACAAAATTTGCTTTTTCTCTTTCACTTGAGCCAGGGGAACATCAGGAAAGGTCTAATTTTGCTCTTGCAATCAAAGCCAACGTGAGTTTAGGTCAGCTCTAGCGTCTTGCCCCTTACCAAGGCATATCCTGAAGAACTCCCACCTTCCACATGGGACGGTGTGGTGGTGCCAGAGGCTGAGCGAATCTGTGCTCATAACTACACAAAGCTGCTGGAGGAGCGTCAGCAGCAGACTGGTGGGTGGTGGTGTCTAAGATCCTGCTACACAGTGTGGTCAGTGGGCCAGCGGGGTCGGCATCGACTGGGCGATTCTCAACAATGCAGACTCTCTAGCCCCCACTCCAGACCTCCTGCGTCAGAATCTGCACTTTAACAGAACCCTTTGGTAATCTGTTGCATGCTCAAGTTAGACAAGCACTAATCCAATGAACTCGAGTGATGTGACACCAACATCCCACCTTCCTCCTTCATGGTAAGCAATGCTCTCTGGAAAATCAGGAATTAAAGAAGTCAATAAAGGTGCTACCATGGCAGTGGCCAGCCCTGGCTCTGGCTCTGCTATAACCCAAGGACTCAAAGGAACAGCCTCTGATCATGAAGTAGGAAGCCTCAGCTGGGGCAAGAGAAGTCTAGAGGCCCAGGCAGGCCTCCCCTCCGCAGCCCCAAACCCTTCCCAATGCCTGCAGCCACACAAAGCAGGGGTTCTCACACCGACTCTCCAACTACAGACTTTGTCACTTGTCGTTACCTACTCAATCACCTAGGAAATTCACATTAATGTGAGTTTCATCTCAAAAAACACATCAAGTGAGATTTGCCTGACCCATGTTCCTTCTGGTTATAGTAAACAGTGGCCTTTTTCTGCTCTGTCTTCTGTCTGTGCAGTTTTTTTCACAACCTCAAAGAAAGCCCTGAACCCTGCCACTCTCCTCCATGCTGTCCCCTGCCCATACCACACACACACACACACACACACACACACACACACACACACACCCTTCACGATACTGAGCCAGAGCAAGGTTCTGCCAGTCGTGGAAGGGGACAGGTAAGCCCCCCTCAGCATTCCTAGAAGATCCTGATAGAGAAGGTGAAAGATCTGTAGGATCCATCATAAAACTCCACCAATGTGCAGAAAGAAAGGTTGAAAATGAGGACAAGATAAAAAACAGGAGGGCAGTTATCCCAAGGAGAGGACACTTTTGTGTGTCCTGACACTGACTTCGGTGAAAGCTTAGCTTCTTTTCTCAACCTGCTGGAAGGTATGAATGGGAGCAGGCATGCAGCCCTTCTTTCCAGCTATGGCTGTCTGAAAAGAAATCACTGATGTGACAACTGGTGAAAGTGGCGGCTGACAATGCTGACTTTCTACAGAGCATCCCACCTCGTTAGTGTCAATAATGGGACCGGGAACTTTCAAGCTCTGTTTTCTCTCCTTGCAAATAATTAAAGCCAATACTTCTCCTCCTTCTCAAGTATTTCTGGACCCCTGCTTATTTCCCTTTCTAATTCCAATTTCAAAATTGCCATTTTATTTCTTCAGATTGCATGATTTCAGTGACCACTGTACAAAGTCACTGCTTCCTTGCAGAGTTAATAGCCAGCCACCCTTTACAACTGAGATAATTGCTAAAAGGAGAGAGAGCAGTTTCAGTATGCATATTTAATGTATACATTAAATAAGCAAGATGCAGGAGAGCCTTAGAAGCAATTCTGGCCTCAGACACCTGCTCCATCTACACGCGAGTGTAAAGAAGCTGCTCATTAACAAGGTCTGTGCTGAGGGGCAGGCCATGCTTTGTGCTGCTTGCCACCCCTGTCCCATGGTGTCTAGCAACCTGTAGCTTATGGTTTCTGGTTGGCTTAAAAAGATGAACTGGGTCACCCTTTCTTCACTGAGAAATTCGTCACTGGCAAACAGATGCCACAGTAGGTACAGAAGCCAAAAAGTATATGGAGAGAGACCACACCAAATTGGTTCTAGAGAGACCAGTTCCAAAAGAGCAGGTCAGCAGGGAGAGAAGAACAGAGCACCCACAAACAGAAGCAGACACACCAACTATAAGACAGGGGCCAAGAAACCCCTAAGATGATGTCATATGTGAGCTCCAAGCAATGCTTTTGGCATGTCGGTTCCACCCCCATCCTTACAATCAAATCCCCTTTACCTAGGCAGATCAGGGTCCCCTACAACTAAATAAGCCACCATAAAATATGCCCCCCCAAAATAATTTTTTTTCCAGTACCTTCAAGGTAAGAAATAATTCTCATGAAAAATAAAAGTAGATCCTATGTAAAAAACATATGGCTTGGCCTAAAGACAATTTCCAGTTTATGAGATCTGTTAGATGACAGCAATTTAAAAGCTGTCAAAAGTTAAGGGGTAAAATAATTTTTGTTTAAAAACACAAAACAAAACAGGTACGTAAATTAGGATTGTGGTCCAAGATAGCAGATTAGGTAAAAGTTTTGCCTACTGCATCCCAGGATCACACCAAAATTACAAATAAATTATAGAACAATCAACTTGAGAATCATCTGAAGACTAGCTGAACAAAACCCCTATAACTAAGGATATAAAGAAGAGGCTGCATGGAGACTGAAAAGGCAGTTAATACAATAGCACAATTAATACCATAGCTACTGGGGAAAAGCTATGCCCAAAATGTGGGATGAAATTAATGCCATTATTGAATAGTTTAGTCAACTTATAGGTGTTTACCAAACTCTTTTTATAGTACAGTTTTAAACGATACCTTTCTCAAAGTAGGTCCAGTCTGACTCATAGAGTTAGAGAGTTGTATATTTTAAAAGTATATTTTATGCTGTGATTAAAATATTTGAGTTGTTTAATAAGCACTAAATAAAAATCAATTTTAATTTGTCTTCAAAAAAACAGGCATGTAATATGAAAGAAAGAAAAAGATTACCATTTTTATAAATAATTCAGATTATATTGGGCCTATCCTGAGGAAATTATACCAGAGTCCTTGCAAGAGCTGAATCCCATTATTAAAGACAGGGCCGATGGGAGCTGCCACTTAAAGTAATTAATCAGATATGCGATAACAAGCAGGAGGACCAACCCACTCGGGGAGTGCACTCAGTGCTATGAAACACAAGGTTAAACCAGTGTACTCATTTAAAAATGAAAGGTTAAGCAGGACACAAATACTTTATTAGAATGTTCAATAAAAGTGAAGCAACATCATAGTGAAATCTGGAAATCGAAATAAACTCACAAATATACCATGAACTCCAGTGGGCAGACCCACCAGTGGCCTAATTAGAAGTAAATTAAACTGGCAGAACATGCCTGAACAGCAAGCAGGTTTGCTCACTGCAGGAAGACAGATTCTTATGGGAGCACGCCAGGCAACTGAGCCACAGGTGGAAAACTGGCCCGCCCCCAGGATGCGTCCCCTCGCCTCAGCAGCGTCCAAGCACTGAGCAAATGACCACGCCACCCGCCCTCAATGTCATGTTCAATAAAATGAGGAGGCTAGATTACAGAATTTCCCAGACAACTCTCTAACTCTATGAGTCAGACTGGACTTACTTTGAGAAAGGTATCGTTTAAAACTGGGCTATAAAAATAGTTTGGTAAATACCTATAAGTTGACTAAACTATTCAATAATGGCATTAATTTCATCCCACATTTTGGGCATAGCTTTCCCATAACCATAAGGAAAAGCACCTCCAGTAACTTTATCCGGTTGTACTTATTAAAAGTCTCCACCAGCATCAGAAGAGATGAATGGACAACTTCAGTGGAGTCTTTTTCTTACCATTTCGGGACACATCAAGTTCCACCAGCTGCATGAAGTTGGCTATTTCAGGAGGCAGTCGCTGAATCTCATTGTCACTAAGTCCAAGCTTTCGTAATTTGACTAGCTGGAAAAATTGCTGTAAAACAAAATAGTTTCACATAAGTCTCACATGGATTTGCAATGTAAATTTTTGCTCTAATATGAAATGTAAAACAATGTCTTTTAAGAATTAATGAGGACTGCATTAATATCAATTTCCTGATTTCGATACTGTACTAGAGTCATATGAAGATGTTAACTTTGGGATTAACCAGGTACAGGAGACGTCTCTGTACTATTTTTGCAACTCCCTTACTAATCTATAATTATCTCAAAATTAAAAGTTTTCTAAAATGAATAAGCAACTCTGTGAAAATAATAAGTACTCCTTTAAGCTATCCAATAGGGGGTCACGTTTTCTACTTATGAAAATTGATGTTAAATCGTTAAATCTGCAATGTTAAACATATGTAAAAATTAGAATAAAGTATTTTAGACTTTTTTTTAAAGGAATTACTCTGCATTAGAAAACATGTAAATATTCCCAAATGTGTAGTGGAGAAAAAAGTATTTTGACAAATCTAAAAAAGAGCCCTTACTAGGTACTTCCATTAACCATGGCAGACTGAGCACATTCTTTTTTTCCCCAATCCCTTTAAAAACCGTACTAAAATAACACTAGAAAAATTTATATAAAGATGGATATGTACTATATATAAATATGGAACCAACTCATGAATACAATTAAAAATGAGAGGAGACAAGAAAGTAAACTAGATATTCAACAAAAGCCTTGAAGCTAGAAAACAAATGAATAAATGGTAACTAACAAAACAATTAAAACAAAGCTGAAATTTAAGCCTGTGGAGTGAGTAACCAATAAGGTATTAGGTCCAGGTACCTCTGAAGGAAGGAGAACTGGTTGAAAATATATACACCAGGTGCCAAAAAAATGTATACAAGTGGACACTTTGGTCAATGTTGCTTAAGCAATAGTTCGCCGTCATCAGAAGTGTCTGGACACTGATGGTAACCACTTTGAACACCTCTTGTAATTGCAGAAGTCAAATGCGACTTGTATTCTTCTTTTGTTATCGGTATATATTAAGTATTACAATTTTAATACAGTTTTCCTTTCTTAAAATGTGTATACATTTTTTGTCAACCTCTGTATACATACAGTAGTCAGGTCCCCATATTCTCTTCTGTACCCTGCATATCAAGGCAGGAGAGGGAACTTTCTATGAGAGTTGACTCTAAGCGCAGCTGAGTGTGGGGGTGAGGCACCCTATTAAAAACAGGGGGACTGAGTCACAGCCTGCTCAGTGAAATCCCACCCCCATGACCCCGCAATCAGGCTCCCAGACATGAGAACAGACCTCCAGATGCAGATTATACTATAGAGATACACCAGGTTACAAGCCCTATCCGTGTACACAGTTTCAATCATCTTTTTTTTCTTCTTCAGGTACCTGCATCTCTCATTTAAAAAGAGCCTAGGTTCTCCAGACACTTGAAATCCGCTAACACGCAAAAAAAAAAAAAAAAAAAAAAAAAAAAAAAAGACAAAAAAAAAGACTGTACACGTGCACACACCTCAGAAGAAACAAATATGAGGCAGGGAGCAGAAAAAACTTCATCAACCAAAAAATATAATTCATACCCTCAGAGAAATAAGAGAAGATGAAGCAACGTGATGTCATAAAAAAAAGCTTCAAAGAAGCTGCTAGAAATTAAAAAATATTGTAGCATCAATAAAAGAATCTAATAAAAGAAGCGAAAATTAAAGTTAACTAAATCCCTCGGAAGGAAGAATAAAAAGATAGTGGGATGGAGGAATGAGAGAGAAAAGACAGGAAAATTACAGGATCAGTCTACAGGGTACTACATCCAACTAACAGGTACTTGAGGAGAGAAAACAAGGGACCACAGAACATGCATTTCCAGTTTGAAAGGACCCCCACACACACATAGCCAATAAAATGAATGAAAAAAGACACGTACCAAGGAATATTATAGAGTTCAGAACTCCGGAAAGAAGATTCTCAAAGCTTCCAGAGATCAGGGGGTGGGAGGAGGGTGATCATAACAAATTACTGGGAACCGGAGGGCACTGGCCTCAATAGCAACCTTGAAAGTAGGAAGGCAATAGAGCAAGGCTTCAACATTCCAAAAAACATCATTCCCAACCCAAAACTGTATACCAGCCAAACTATCGATCAAGTATCATGACAGAATAAAAACATTTTCAGATACGCAAGGTCTCAAAAAATTTACCTTCCTTACACCTTTCTTAGGAATCCACCAAAATGTGGAAGTAAACTTAAAAGGAGTAGGATTTGAGACCCAGAAATCAGACAATCAACAAATCAGACAGAGAGACAAAGGAAATACCCAGGGTAAATTAGTGAAGGGAATTCCTAACATCAGCTGAGCAAGCAGGCCTTAAGAGCAACTAGTCACAATGAAGAAAGTACCAAGGTTCCCAGAGGAAAGTTCTGAACAAAAAAAATAAAATAAAAACCCATCTAAGGGAGTACCTGATGTGTTTGGCAGTAATGAGAAGGTTTGGTGATAAGTTAGAAACAAGAATAGAGAAAACAAAGCAAGGGGGGGGGAGGAAGTTGTTAATTTCCAGGAGAAATAAACTATATGAAGATATAATCATAATATAATATTTGGTTATGAACAATATTTACAGTCATAATATTTTAATATCTATGTATTGACAAAACCAAAATTTGTTATGTCAATACTGAAAGGATAGGAAAGAAACAGTAAGTGCTAAAGTCTCATCTTCCATAGAAGGAAATCAGTGATAACCATAAAGTGAAAAAAAAATAATAATAATCAAACTGGAAAAGCAAGCCATTTAGCAAGCAAAGGCAAGTATCAGCAGAAACATCCAAGAGCTGAGGGTTCTTAAAGCCAGAAACTGGAGGGGGAAAGGGGAGGGCAGAGGCTGCTGGTTTTCACTGTCACACTACATGGCTTATTGTATTTTTAAAGGCTATTTTCATCTATTACTTTGCTAAAAACAGAAATTGAATTTACAAAGGATAAAGTCTCTACTAAGATTACAGAGTGCTCTAAAGGATAATTTTGAAGGATGCTAATATTTAAGGTGCTTCATCTTTTTATTAAACTTAATTGATTTATTTGGTAAAAGGGATTATATACTTATATAATCAAAAAGAAGGCACTGTCTATTGGAAAGCAATTGGGCAATGCATACAACATAAGTTTTCAGGTCCACTGACATAACAATGCTTTTGAACACTGTCCCTGTATAATATAATTGAAAATAAGAAAACACGCTACAATGCACAATGTCTTCACATTATTATCTGTAAAAATGAAAAACTGGAAACTGACATGTCAAATAAGGGAAATGACTAGCATATTAGTAAATAATTCCATATTAAGAAAGCAACAAAAATGGTTACTATAAAGGCCACAGTACTTGAAAAAGATTTATAACGCAAATATAATTTGAAAGAAAAAAGACAACAAAATTGTAGATACATTATGTAAAAAAGCATGTGTGTATGTTGACAGGAAGAAAACATAGAGAAAAAAAGTTATGCTAGGTGATAAAGAAAATGCATAAACAACTTTAAATTATTTTTTATCAAAAAAGAAAAATATTTTAAAATAAAATGAAGTATGAAACTCAGCAAGTGAAATGCTACCAATTAGCTGTATATGATAATGAAGGTGATCAACAAAAGGACCAATCCTGTAATCCTGTGAGTTTCTTTCATCACACAGTTGAGATTTAATTTCTTAAGGAAAGGTATTGAAATTTCTTTATGCTGGTTGTACTAACGCATTATCTGACACAAAAGCCATTCAAAAGAGTCACATATTTGAATAATTGAGCTTATGCCAATTGTTGAGAGTCTGACAGTTTCATTATGCATCAATGTGTTTACTCAAGCATGAAAAGCTCACTTTCTTTTCCAGGAAAGGCATAATAGCAACAGCACAAAACCATCACCCATTCCATACATCCAGGGACCATTCAGAAGTAATACAAGAAGAAATCAAGCCAGTAAGGTACTTAGATCTACAGTGAATAAATAATAAGTTGATTTGATGTCTGTAGAAACGACAGACCACAAATCCCCACATCCAATAGAAATCATAACAGCAAGCAAGTTTAAGTTTTGTTCTGCATGTTAAAAGCATCCTCGAATACAGCCTGTAACAAATGCTACTTTATTGACTTGGGAAGCACACACCAGATGTAAAAACAGCCCTGTCTAACAGGATCCTAAAGCGCAAACAGTAATTCCTCAATCCTTCCCTCATTATCCTGATGGGATCTTAATTTGGCATCCAAATGCTTTAAATTAACTATTTTCTTATGAGACCGACACAACACTACTAAGCCTTTATTAAATCCTCAAGTTTTCAACTTCCTCATATAGTCGGGGAGAAGAACTCAGCAAGCTCTGAGCCCCTCTGCCTTGTCGTTGAGATTAGCCAGGGCACATGAAGAACAATTCGTGTAGCTGTTTTGGCAGGGCGCCTCAGCACAGAGTGGTCATGTGATGGGACACACAGACACCATTCTTCAACTATACCATGTGTGATTATAGCACCCGGGCCCACTTAGAGCACATTTTGTACATTCAGAAGCAAAGAAACCCAAATTGCCTTGGCTTGTGAGGCTACACCACAACCTTCTTATTGCCACCATTGTTTTTAGTAGATACAGAGTCTTTATTTTGGCTGAACAAAATGTTCCCATTTCCCAGTCTCCATTTTTGACAAGAGTTTTTTTTCCCTTCTCCTTTGATCTAGTGTTAGTACCTCCCTTCTTCTTAGAAAGGGACATAAGGAAATCTCAGTCCTAAAAGAGCTGTGTCCTCTTTTTATTACTATGTGGCCAAGGATCAGTCAATTGTTCCCCCTGCCCCACTGCCCACATGTCTCCTCCATAATGTAGAGAAGACACAGTCCATGGTTATAGATTCACCTAGACGCAACAGTATAAAGGATGTTATGAAGCTCCTGAAAACTGTTTGACTTCGACACCAACTTTACTCACATATTTCCCTGCTGGAGACATTCTGATCCTTCCACTAAACA